AGTTTATCTTTCTCCTTCCAATGTGGAGGAGAAGATAACTCTGACTAGTACAGCCAGTTCAGCTATAAAGAACAAACCTATTAGCAAAGGTGGTGCAGTCAATGCAGATACAACAGTAACGTATGATGCTCTGACACAGCACAAACACCTCTAGACACCCTAGAAATGCACCATACAGAAAACAGTATTTCTAGTAATTTACTAGCTGGCATGCCATTTAGTATGTACAAAAATTACACCGTGCGCAGCTGGTTTAGTACATAACTTTAGGATCCGCTTTTATGTACGAAAACAAAATAAGTCAACACTGTTGACTCAACAGTCTAGTTAACATAACATAACTGTGGGTCAATGATGCAAACTCGAGCCGGCCAGCACCAAGGCTCCGTGATAGGGGAAGCATGCACACAAGCGAGAAAGGGGGAAGCATGCACAAGTACGTGTGACGTAGCAATTCTCGCTTGTGTGCATGCTTCCCCTACCACGGAGCCCTGGTGCTGGCCGGCTCGAGTTTGCATCACTGCTGTGAGTGTTTATAATAGCTAAACCTCTGGGCCGGGTTACCCGTCTGACCGCTGTCTGATGCAGTGATGGATACTAGTGATCAATGTTCGGCTACCCAGATAATCGGTGTATTATCCGAGTATCCGGCTCTAAATGACAACACTAACGGATATCTCGATAATAAAGCTCTTATTTTAAATATAAAATTTTTGAAAAATGGTTGAAATAAATTTATTTCTTTTTCTTGTCATACTTGAAGCAATACCATTTGTTTGGAAACTCATGTAAATCTGCATAAGTAAAATCGTCACTCACATAAGGTATGTGCCAACAATCACCATTTTTTTGTACAGTTGGCAAATAAATAAAAGGTTCCTCAATTTTGAAGTATCTTGAAGTCCCATTTTTTCTGACAAAGTACTGATGCGAATATTGCCACTTCTTGAACTCTTGTTGCAAATGTAAATCCTTCAAGGAATGCTTGTGCTGTCGCAATAAGTCTAGTGATACAAACATTGCATTTTCTCCACTTGCCATGGTTGCATAGAGCATGTATACGTCATCAGCAGACCTGAAAGTTTTTATATACATATATTTTGCAGAATGTGTCAGAAAAGTGATACAAATATATTAAAATAGAAATTCTAAGTTTGATAATTTATAATATTTTAGTCACTTTGTATCTGGCTTAATTATATACTTTGCATAGTAGTTTTAACTTTTATTCCACAAAAATTTGTTTTCAAGCTTATTTTATAAATATTTTTATCATTAGTATCCTTTTTCAAATTTTTTTTTAGTTTTTAGAAAATATTTAAATGCGCTGAATTTTCTCTGTAGTGTTATCTATTATTTAGAGTGTATATGCAAAGATTTATTTCCTAATCTCTTAAACTCTAACATTTTCAAATTTTATGTGAATTTGTTATATCTAGACACATTAAAGACACTTTAAATACTTGTAAACAATATATTTTTATTTGTATGTACTTTATTACTTTAACATCAAAACTTATTTTATATACAAATCATTTCTGAATGAAAAAATAGTTAAAGAAGAAAGTTGAGACATTATTTTAAAAAGTTATAAATTTTTATGTAAATTTTACAAATATTCCCCCTATTCATAATATTAAAAGTAATGAGAGATTTTAATACTTACATGTTGTCTATGAAGAAGACAAGTGCGTGTTGTTGTATATACTTCCAATTAGGCAGCTTTTTCTGATGTTTCCGCGTTACCACAAGTATTTTTTTCTTATGTTGGCTGAAATGCTCAACTACTTTGATCAACTATAATATGAATATAAGTATGTATAGTATTCTCTCTAAGAAATTTATATGATATATACTTACATATATGTTTTAATAAAAATGAATATGTATTACCGTTTCTAATGCATGTGCAGTTGAAGTTTTCTGCATGTAAAATACATTGAGTCCATCGATCACTATGTCATATGGTTTAGTTTTCTCGATAAATTTTTTAAATCTTTGCAATTCTTGTGGATTAGTCTTATAATAAATATCTGAACCAATAATTAATTTGTTCATTACAGATTCTGCTAATTCTTGAAAGCTATTTTTGTTGAGTGTTATCTTGGACAAGGAATGACCGCAATATTTACAACTCCCACTAAACAGAAGAAACATATATCTAAATTATTAAAATTCTAATTAATTCTTGAAGATTATATAATTGCATCTAATATTAGACGCGCAAATTAATCCAATGCCTTTTTTGAAAAGATAAAGATTTATTCATAAAGAAACTACATTCTCAATTATTAAAATTGGTGAAAATCTAAATAAATTTTTGCATGAATATTTGTTGAAAATTTTATTAGTGTAAATGAAAAATTTGATCTACCTTGTCTTTTTTTCAAATATATCAATAGCTGCTGTTGCAGTACATAATATTCAAATCCTAAATTAAATTATTTAAAAAAAAATTGAAATCAATTAGAATAATATAGTACATAAATAAGAAACACTTACGTTTTACATATAGTTGTAGGTATTGTGTGCCAACCATACTTAGTAGCTCTATCAGCATATGCATTTATAATGTAATTATATGGCATCATGCTATGTTCAGACCAAAAATCAAACATTTCTTCCATTCTATTGTTGAAAATTTCTTCCATTCCTTCTGATTCACAATATTGCAAATGTGATTTATACACGATATGTTGTAGTATCTGCTTACGCGATACTATGCTTAACAATGCCTTCCATGCAACATCAGATTTCCCATTTCTGAATGCTGCATCAGCTATTGCAGAATATGCCTTTATACTTGGAGTAGTGGTAATCTTTATCAATTCTATTAATTCGTCTGTTTTCTCCCATTGATCTGTCAAACATAAGCTTACTACGCAATGCTCAGCAGTAACAGAATCCAGATAAGGATGGTTCTTTCTTAAAGCATTATAAGTGTTTATGATTTCCATTTTATCAGCCTCAGTCAAGAGATCACATTTCAAAACATAGAGTCTCAGGTAATTTCCAATCACACCCACATTCAAGGGATAATTGTTTTCCCTGAGAAATTTAAAATATGCGATAGCCTTGTCTACTTGAAAATCCACAAGGCAAGTCTCTATAATTATGGAATCCACTGTTGCTGCTGTGATCTGCTGAATCTGAAGAAATCTCTCTCGTATACTTTGCCATTTTATATTTAATAAGTTTTCATTTTTAATATTGTCATAAACGTCTGCGTTTTTTTCAATAATGATGTTTAAAGGAATGATTTTCCTAGTATTAGGAATTTGCTTTGTCAACTCATATTGCTTTAGCAAAAAGTTTGTATGAAACTTATAACGACAAGACAATAATGGCTGATACAATTTACGAAATACTGCCATTCATGCCATATCTGGAAAAATAATTTATTGTTAAAATTATTTAATAGTTATATAAAAATACTAAAAATACTTTGTTGAATGCGTCAATAAATATATTGTGTGCACCACATACACAAAATAATTGCAAATAATACAATCCATCTTAATTAGTCAAAACATGTAATCGCTAACCTTATTGCACACCGCATGAACTAATCATACAGAATTCACAATCAGTACTCCTGAGAAATTATTGTACTGTATTTATAGATATAACACATTGTAAAGTGTACCTGTTAGCTCATATTCAAAATTTCTCTTTTTATAAAAAAATCTTTCATAAACGAGTTAGCATTTCGCGACTACTTTGAAAAATGCATATTTTTTTAACAACAAATAATGCTGGATTCACACTGGGTCCGATTTCCGACGTACGATGTCCGATATCCAATGGGAGAGATTTATATAAAACAATTTTTGTTATTGGATCTCGGACGTCGTACGTCGGAAATCGGACCCAGTGTGAATCCAGCATAAGTTTGAGATTTTCATCTGCACTTTACTGCACTTTCTTGTACCTAAAATAAGGCCACGAAATATTTAGGATTGGTCGTGGCAGCACTTGGCGGGGAGAACTTGACGGTCATGCAGCGGCGGTGATCATAAGCGATGAATAAAGGCGAGCGTATTGATAAAGCGCAGATAACACACGGTCAGTTATGGCCGTATGATGGTTAGAGCTAGGTTCCTTCCGGAGCCAACAGTAAAGAAGAAGAAGCACACTGTCATGATCCGTACATCGCTGATCGTCACGTGTTGCTAATCGTGATTTTTTGTTGCATCATTCACGACATCTGTTTATTTTTGAGATTGCGTAATACGTGTCGCGTTCTCTAGAGGTGTCAACTAGGTGGAGATCAGACAAGCGCTATTGTCTCGTTCGCGCGGATAAAATAAGCAATAAGTAAGTGCAGCGTTGTGTGCAGCTCGTGATGTCACATGGTCCACAACACACCGCCATGCTAGAGAATCACGTTATTGATTCACGTAGTAATAGTGCGCGAATTTCAATTGCGTTCCGCGTACTTGCCTTGAAGAATGTATTGGTTATAAAATAAATTGGCTTATACATTAGTCATTGGAATTTAAAAACAATATATTTCTTATTTTATATTTCAACAATAAATAGGTCCCGGATCAATTCCATTCAATCAAAAACGCCAAAAGGCTAGTACAAACTTGCGGATCGACAAAGAAAACAGATAATCTATGTCTTTTCCCTTCGTAGACAAATTCCTCATTTAAAGTCTTCATCTTCGTGGTGATTATAGATGTGACACATACAATCACTCTTAAAGATACAAGCTTTCAAATGCGTTCAAATTACAAGAGTTTTTAAACTTGTCAAATACTTAATTTAATAAATATATATTTTAGAAAATTATAGCCAAAGAGATGTGCCAAAGATAGTTTTGTGTTACTTTCATTATGAAGATTTTGACAATTTTTATATTGAAAGAGGATCTAGTAGTAGTAGTGGTAGTAGGAGTAGTAGTCGTGTAGTAATAGCAGCAGTAAATAGTAATAAGAGTGGTACAACTTTTGTTCTTAGCATTTCTTTCGAAAAGTGCAGGTGGTTTTTTGAAAATTATTTTTGAAATGAATCATTTAGCATAATGATGAAGAAGTGATGAATGTTGAAATTAATGCATATGTATGAAACATTACAGCTCAATAATGGAGAACTACACATCCAGTGATTGCAGTGACTCCGGTGACTCCAGTGATTCGGATTTTAACTTGAAGACACTGGACTTATCATATCTGTCAATGGATAATGAAGTGCTGGATAAGGAATTTCTCAATACCAAGTGTCCAGAACACATAGATGCTCTGTTTTTGACTCAGAATCGCCTCACAATTCTTCCTGCTAGCATCAGCAGATTTACCGGTCTAAGTTCTCTTGACATTTCGAATTGTGGCCTCACCAAGTTGCCAGATTTTTGGACTGGTTGCCTTTTAACCTGTTTAATTGCAAGACACAATAATTTGACCAATGATGGATTAGTTAAGAGTTTTGAAAATCTAACTAGTCTGAGAGAACTCAATCTAAGCGGTAATAGACTAACGGAATTTCCTACTCAAGTACTTCATCTAAGTGTCTTAAGATACCTTTACCTTGGTGGCAATCTCATCAGTGAAATTACCAAGGACATCTGGAAGCTGCAAGGGTAACCATTCTAATGAGTTTTAATGATTCTTGGCATTCACACACTGACTCTGAACTTTCTATTCCTTACTTCATAATTCCGACCCATCCATGGGAAATTGGAAATTCATGAGTTTCAAGAAGCAACAGAGGCAACAGAGGCAACAGAATCAAAACATGATGTCATGCATTCTCACTTTATTTATCTTAACTTTATCATTGAACAGAATATTAATGCAAATGTATTATGTGCGAACGGAAAAAAAAGAAAAACAAACAAATAAACCAATTCCTGCACTTTCCATAAAGTATTTCACATTACATTACATCGCGCTTTCAGATAATTATATTTATTTGGGTTGATTAATATATCAAATCAACTATTTTATTGATTTTATTAAATAAGGTATTATGTTCTGTTAAAGGCTACATGTTTTGTCACTGGGAGATAACAGATTGACGGAAGTGCCGTCCACTCTCGGACGATTGACAACCCTGCAGGCTCTTGTGCTCTTCAACAATATGTTAGAGAGCTTACCAAGCTCGATAGCCAATTTAACAAACTTGAAGACCTTGGCACTTCACAATAACAGATTAAAAACACTGCCTACCGAGATAATAACATTAAATTGTCTTATAGAGGTTGGTTGCAAATAATTTCATGTTTTTTTATATCCTCCTTATAAGTTCAATGGTTTATTGCAATGAAAAGCATACTATGATAGACATGGTATTAATATTTTTGAATCAAGTGCACCATATCTATATATTCGAGCACATGTGCAGCCGTAAAGAGTAATTTGATTGAACAATGTAAAATTATGTAAATAGTTTGTTAATTGATTGAAAAATTGGTTAAAAGACTCAATTAGCTAAATTAAGAGCAAAAATCTTCAATCGAAAGAGTAAGACACGAATGTGTCTTACTCATTCGTAAACGAATGATTTCGTTTATCAGATCTGCTTGCGGTGAAATTTAGGATGTTACATTGTTCAAATGTTGAAATGATATTGAAACAATAATTCGTCAACAATTTGATAACATTCCGATTGCAATCGCTTTTGAAGTAACTTGATCGTTACATTTAACATTGTTTTCTTGAGAAGATGAAAAGTGAATCATTCGGAGGATTCTATAATGAATGAATTAAATATAAAACAAATGCATCTCATTGGCTTTTCGTAGTTATCTTTACGAGACAATCCGCTGGTAGTAAGATTCGTGTCCGACATGACGCATAATCCGCCCTCGTTGTTGGAGTTGGCAGCGCGCGTCGTCAAGACTCGCGACATTTGCTATGATAATGAGAGTATACCGCTTAACCTAGTGCAGTATCTCAATAGCGCCCATCATTGCGTTAATCCTAAATGTAAAGGTTAGTATTTAATCAATACTTATACGTCGTTAGAAAATGGTAAACATAAAGGTTTTTGAAACTATTAAATTTTTGTGTCTCTCTCTAGTTAGAATTCTTGGTCTCAAAATACTCATTTGAATACAATTTGCACGTAAATTTAACTGTTTGTCATAAAAATAATTTTTGGTAATAAAGCGCGTGTTTATTTCTTAATAATTAGAGTTAATTGTACAAGAGGAGCGGGAATCATGTCATTGAAATTTTAGAACTCTGATTTCGAATTTGATGATTTTATAAAAATGATACTGCTTCTTTGTAGGCCTACTTTTCTTTGCGCTTCTTACAGTATTTCTGTAATAAATTTCTCAAACACGTGCAGTAGCAAACTATCCGATTTACAATGATAAATGGCTTCAAAACTTTTCAGGCTTTTTAAAAGCAGAACATTTTTTTATGCAGGTGTTTTCTTCAACAATCGCGTGGAGCATATCAAATTTGTCGATTTTTGCGGCAAGTATCGCTTACCGCTATTGCAATACTTGTGTAGTAGCAAATGTATCGAGCCACGCGACAACGCCGAAGAATTCGTGAGTGGTGCTATGATAAGGAAGGTCCTTCTTGGCTGATGAAAGAAATCTTATATTTTTCTGTACTGCTTGAAAGCTACTTTTCATTATCATTTTCTTTCGTTTAATGAAAATAATCTTCAATTTGTAAAAATTGCTGTTGATCCGCGATGTATTGTAAACTTGGCATTTAAAGAATAGTGAAAGCAAAAGAATAGTGGATTTTGTAGGAACCATTTGTAAAACACATTGTGTTACACATTATATAAGCTTATATAGAGATGTGTGATGTGTTTTACATGTGTCTTTTTTTCCGTATCAAATGTATATTATAGCAAATGATGTATATTAGCGATGATATTAGGTGCAATTTGAGATAAAAACTGATAAATATGGCTTGATATAATAAATATTTTTGTATTGTTCAGTATCCCTAAAAATAAGAGTAACAAGGTAAATTTGCGAATTTGCCTTGAAAATTTTTTATAAATTTTTTACGCCCCGACAAACATGATGATGTTCGATAGCTGACCAACTCATCCCTCTGTATGTGTGCCTCTCTTTGCTCGACACAAATCTGGCTTTTTTTTGGCCTCTTTTCATTCATATTTTAATCGTTTAAATCATCGAAGCCTTGATAAATTTTATTTACCTTATAGTTTTAATAAGTGAAAAATAATTGCTGTTCGACTAATTGTTTATTTTTAAATAATTTTTGTTTGACTGAAATTTTGTCATGTTTTTTTTTCACTCAAACAGTTCCCTCGAAATGTCTCTCATTGAAACGAATATCACATTTAATTATTCAATTATATTTAGCACCGTTAAAGAACAAGAAGTAGCATTAAAGTACAAGGTTTGAATATATATATACATATAGACCCATATAAAAGATACACGCACAATATATATGTATATAAAGGATTGAGACAGCAGCTGTTAACATTATTGTTAATATTTTATTGTTAAATAAACCACAAAATGTACAATAATATTATATAGGTTGACTCCGCCGTAACTAATGACGGGACAGTCTCGCGCGATATTTTTTTCTTCCTTAAACACATCCAGAGTAGAGTTATACTACAAGATATCCATCGTCTTTACCATTATCGTCGTCGTCGCGACTAATACGACAATTTTTGCACATGTCGTGTAATTTTCATAAAATTAAAAATATACTCGAGGAAAAGATAAAACGCGCAGAAGAGGAGCAGCGAAATGAGAACGGTAGGTAGGTAGGTAGGTAAGTAGGTAGGTAGGTAGGTAGATGTGTGTTGTGTGTATTTATAATTATTTATATATGTATATATTTATAGGACATTGTATAATGATGTGTGTATATATATATATATATAATAATTGTAAACATAGCAATCGTGTAATAAGTCTTACTACCTTTTTTTCTTTAGCTTCTGCTCACCGCGTAGTACAGCGTAATGTAGTAATATAATTAATTACCTATACATACATATACATATTCATATATATATGCGCTTTATCTATATATTACATACATATATATGTATGTACATGCTCTTTTTCTTTCTCTCTTCCCTCTCAAATTCGCACTTTTATTTTCACACATACGTGCGTACACGATCTCTCACACTGATTCACGATCTCGAATTAGAGCATTTTTTATTGCTTTCTAGCAAAGAACACGAGTCGATGTGAATCGACTTCTGGGACGATTCTCCAAATCCAATCCTATTTGAGAGACGCTACATAAGTACATTGTAATGGACTTTTCAAAGAAATATTTTTAAAAAATTATTTTTTTTTCAAGTTTGAATGTAATGCAAGTGTTTTTAATGTATTAAAAAGAAATATCTCGATTAATCAGTCAGGATATACGCACAATAAGTTCACATTGCAGGAAAAAGAGGAGGGTAAACACAATCGCATTTCATTGGCGTATACCATTAGATAGATCTGTCAATGTATAACGAAAGTTTTATTGTATTGTAATATATCACAATTAACGTACAGGCATTCTAATGCTCTTCAAATGTCTCTTATTTTTAAATTATTTATAATAACGTTGTGACACAATCCTTTCGTAAGTCTAAATATTTTTATATCATTTTTACAAGTTGTATCGAGAAAATAAATCCATTACCAAATAAGAAAATTTTTGCCTCAATTCACGATTATAAATTGAAAATCGTACTTGAGATGATTTTGAATATGTAATTGAATTGGGAAAACTGTTTCAGAAATCGACTTGCGTCGATTCGTATATCTTGTTGGAAAGCAACACTGTTATCTCGTATAGGCGTGGTAGTAACTAACACTACTCTATTTACTTGTTTTTGTAATTTCATCTTACTTAACTGTGTAGTAAATATTTCTGTCGCTTACGTGCTTACGTACGTTTCGCTCTATATGTATATTAAACAATTTCTCCCTAATATCGTACATCCATGAGTTTGAAACATCAAAAACTCACTGTGCCTACGGTTGCAGGTAATTTATCGTTATTCTCCGCTCCTTGTGTCATCCGGGAGTGTTATCCATCCCTGTGTGTAAACCCCTGTGTCCATCTCGACCGACGCGCAATGTGGTCTACTTCTATTCGCCATCCACCACCTGCTGTTCTTGATGGCTTTCTTGCTCCTTCGTCTCCTTGGCATCTTTATCCTCGTCTAAAATATGATATTGAAGAATGTAAAAAGGTGGACAGAGTTATGCGACACGAGTTATTTTTATTAGCATATTTTTAACAACTTCTTAAAGTAAATAAAAAGGATTGTGCGCTAGTTTATACGTGCAATAACATCTCATTATATCTCTTCTGGTCGGAATTTTTATTTTAAATTTTGCTTTCAATTAATTAACCAGTTTTTTTTTATTAGCCAACAATTAAAAAAATTTTTAAAGTCAATTTTCGAATAAAATCTCATGTGAAAAGTTATCCTACATTTCCAATTTTTATTTTTGTATAAAGAATTAGCCTATATTTTAGCTTACCACAATGCGCATCCAGCGTATACATATATTTATATATCTTAATTTAAAATCTAAATATGAAAAATACATTTTCTAACGTCTCCTTTAATCTCTTTTAAAATTAAAATTAAAAATTATTTTGTTTTCTCGTTTACTTTTTATTTCATGTGCTGTTTGTTGATTTAAAAATCAATAATTGTTTTTTAATTAAAAGTTAAATAAAGTAAAATTAAAATTAATACGTTAAAACAGGAAGTGTTTTTTAATGATCAAACTGTTAAGAAAATAATATTCGATGCAATTTAATTCGTTGCAGGGATCACTTAAAAAACTTGAACTGCATAATTTATATTTTTGATAATGTTCTTCTTCCTTCCATCCATTTTTATTCGTGATCAATTGATAAATCCGTTGAAGACCACAATTACTTTCTTCTTTTTCATATTAATTTCATTGTGCTCTAAATTTATAACTGGAATCAGATTTTCGAATATTTTTAGATATTTGGATATTTGGATAAATATTGAAAATTTACACAACAAACAGTTACTACTAAAATATTGAAATGTTTAAATGCGTCTTTTAAAATGAGATATTTTGTATTTTATATAATTACTAAATTGATCGAGATATTCTTCGATCTTTCTTCGATTGATATTAAAATTTCTACAGGTATGATATTCTTGTATCGAAAAGATGCGTTAAGATGAAATGAGAAGAAATTGAAACTGAAAATCGATGATTATTATTATTCGATGTTTATTATTATTAATAAAAATAATGTTAACGATAAATAATTAACAATATCTATATCCAAGCTTTCATCCGATATTATGATTTATTATTTATCTATTTCACAGCTATGTTCTCGTCTAATTTTTCATTTCTTTTTCTTCGTTTCCAAATTTCTGGTATACTTTTTTTCTTAATACTCATCTAGCAATAAGATTCAAAAGAGAAACAGAAGAGAAATCCATTCATTTCTGTTGCATTTTCCTGTACCTTAAAATAAAATATTCAAGATTCGAAAAAACGGGAAAGGAAAATGAAGCAAATGTAATAAGTGCTACTGAAACGAACGGATAAAAATGAAAAGATAGAAACCGATATGTAATTTTGCCGAGTTTAAATCTCGATAGTTTCGAAATTTCTTTCACACGAAAAATATTTGATGCTGCATTACCGATGATATAATATGAGATAGATTTCCACAAAATAGAACAAATACCATCCTTTAGTTTTCATCGATATTCATATTCTTCTCAAATCGATACTTTTGTCCAGCTTCTGTCTTAAAATATAAAATGGTGACAACGTAAAGAACGTTATTAGACACAATAGAGTACGCTTTTTTTTTGTAGTTTATCTTGTATTAGAATAAACGCATTCGATGGTTATTTAAAATTAAAGAAAGGGATCAGCTTCTACGCGCGCGCGCACACACACGCACATACCCTCATACACGCACACGCGCGCGCACATACGCACAGAAAATTCGACTCTGTAACAACGGAGTATAGTTAAGACTCCTAGCAGCCATAACTGCTTATGATGTCAAAAGTAAAAATCTTTTTGCGCATATGTCGAAGTAAATTAGCGTTTTGCACGCTAGCAGAATAAAATACATTGGCAAAAAACAAGCTGAAAACTATATCTTTGAAATAAATAATTAAATCTACAAACGTATTCTCTCTCAATATTTGCAGTAGAAATTAATTTTATGATATATTGAGCGAGCTTTGTAGCTATTATGTATTTATCTATGAGCGGGAAAGAGATTCTTGAAAAAAAACGGGTGTTTCATACTTTTATTTTATTAAACATAAATTGTATATGTGTAAAGAAAAAGTAATTTACTTTGACATATACTTCCACAAATTACTGTATGATGCACTCACTGCAATACATATACATACACTGGAATGCACCGTAGTTTTCACAGCGCGGGATGATGCAGAGGCGAGAAATGAGTTATGTTTCTTTTTATATAGCCTCTACATGTAGCTCTCCTCCTTTTTATATAATCCCCAAAACAATCGCCAAAACAAGAATTTAATCCCTACCACTGAATTCCATATTTCGTAGGCGTATTAAAAACGCATTAATCTTTAATTCATCTTCAATTCATAAATCTTAACATCAATCTTTGATGATAATTGTAAATATGTATAGATGCGTTATAATGTGATCATCACATGCAATCATCAAGAGAGACAAAGGCTTTCAATGTGCCTACAAAAGAGATAGCTCATTTACTTCACCCCTTTTCTCCCACCATCTCATGGCCTGAAAACCACGGCGTGTTCCAATATGTATAGAGTTCAGCGGTGTTTATCAGTATGTACAATTCAATAACTGTGATACAAGCTAGACTTTTGATAGCAATTGTACCATCAAAGATGGCTGCTTTTAATTCGCCTATAAAAGAAATTGACAAAGTTAATCTGTTGTTTTCCTTGTCATTATGTACGTTATATATTAGGCTTATATAAAGCCAAGGTGCATTCTACCATGTATAATATATATGTATAATTGAGTAGTTACACTAGATCGAAACTTTCCGTATACACTAGTTATATAGTTGGAAATATCTCTATTCTCAATTTCTGGCACCAATAAATTCTCGATTGAAAAACTTGAATCTAGATGCGACCAGCTGATTGAAAATAAATCTCAATTGAGAATAGAGACGTGCGATCGTATACTCGTATATATCTTAAAACTATGTATTAACCATTGTAGCACCGTACTATACGCAAAATAAGCTCACGAAAAATAATATATCAATTAATTTTAATATTAATGAAACTAATTAAATCAATATTTCAAAGAACATCTCTTTCTCGTTTAAACTTATTGTGTGGTTTTCAAATTAAAAAATTAAAAAAAAATATCTGATAATATTTATAAATGGAATAGGAAAAATCTCCTTGCACTCTTGTGAATTTATTTTGTGCATGCGTTGTAATCTACATATATACAAATTTGTACATAAAAATTGAATATATTCGAAAGATATAAGTTTTCGACCTAGTGTATCATACAGAAGTATGTGTTATGTGTTATCTTTCTGATACCATACATGCTGATAACATGTGTCCAATACAATTAAAGTAACGGAAAAAAACCTTACAGCGTTTCAAATAAAGCAATTCAACTTTCCAAGCCTTAAACTTTTTGAGCCCACTTTTCATAAACTGTCATTTGACTGAAAATGTATTCACATTTAGGATAAATCAGATTTTGAGTTATATAACGCGAATAAGAGAATAAGTGTTACTTTGGTTTCCATCTTATAATCCACAACTTAAATCTGGCGCAACACATTTTCAATCAAATAGAAATCCATGCCAAACGGGCCGAAGTCACACCGGATTGGATTAATCTATTTCAATCGAAAAAGTCAAGTTGCGTCACTGCCCTACGCTACATTTTTGCTCTAGAAAATATGAAAATCTTATATACCTACATATATGTATATGACGCAATGCAATCGCATTTTACAACATAGGCATCCTCATCACAGAAGATGGTTAATTCATCATATATCACCGTAATGATCAGACCCCGATTCTTTAATAAATTTAAAGAGAAGCGAGAGAAAGAAAAACAAAACAAAAATAAAGCGGCTCAAGCCATATTCGATGAATTGGGATCAATGTTTTGCGTATTGGTGGTGCTTGTGTTGGCGGTGGTATTAGGATTAGTGACGCTATTATCATTAGAGTTACCGCTAGCGCTGGCGGTGGCACCTGTGGTGTCCGATTGTCCGCCACCCCCGCCGCCGCTGCCGGGATTCCCTTCCGTGCCGGTGGTGGTGGCGGCGGCGGTCGATTGCATGTACTTGGGTATCAGCATGCTGTTGAGAACCGGCTGGATCCGTAGCTCATGCTCGGTGAAGTTGAAAAGCGGCGGCAGTTCGCGGCCACTCGGTAGCCGTGTCCCCTGCTCCCGCAGCTCGTTGAAGAATGAATGCGCGCACGCCTGCAGAGGCGTCATACGCAACGATGGTGTGTACTCCAACAATCGCGCTACCAGATCCATCGCTTCTGGCGGTGTGCGCGCCCTGAACACCTGCAATTATCGTCAAATCCGTAACAAAGCCTGCTCAACGTTTAACACTTGTTATTTGATGTGATTACAGAATAATATGAATAATATGATTAATGAATGAGAAAAATTCATTATACAGGGCATGTAGTTGTGACAACGCCATAAATTTTATCAACTTTTTCGCATCTACGTAATATAGATTTAAAATTATTGTATATCGGAGAAAGTTAATAAAATCATAATAATGAATTGTTTAATTTAAAATACAACGAATCAAATAAAGGTCATCTGACGGTCATATTGTTTAACACGGTTGAATTTCTTTATACTATCCACGACTTTTGTTATAGAAAAAAGATTTTTATTTAAAAAAACTGAAGGAAACTTTAAAATCTTGAAAACTACAATCGATAAAGATCATTTGAATACATCACTGCATTAATTATCAAAGTGGTTTCAGTGCCCTATCCTGTATAACAAAATTTATTGCATAATTATATTATAAAGCAGTGAAAAAAGATTATATATGCTCTGTTGTCATTTAAAAGATTCTCAATAATAAGTAGCAACTATAGTTAATAGTGGTGTATAAATCTTCAGCAAATATCCTAAATGTTTCGACATCAACATTATCTTTTACGGAAAATTATATATTAAATATATATACACTTAATTAGCAAAATATCGGGAACCTTTTCTCCTAACATTGTATTGACCGGAAATATCTTCACACACGTATGGTCCGCAATGATACTTGTGTACTCTCTAAACATTCAAACGTTGCTGCATAGGAATGCAGCAGTCTCTTTACTACCAAAACCTAGATCGTTACATTCGCCACCACTCGCTTACACAATTGTTACAAGACAGTAAAGTTCAGTTATTTTTCTGGGAGGTATTTCTAATATAATTAATATCTAATATAATATTTTGCCAAGTTTATTACGTTATTTCCTATAGTGTTTCCTATAGTGAGTTTTCATAATTTCGAAAAAATATCCTGCGGTCTGTAAAAGTTAAAAAAATTTATTAAACTTGAGAGATTTGTAAGATAATAATTTTAATCGCATCATTTTGTATACCAAGCTTTAGTTTTTACATTTTATTTTGTAACTTAAAAATTTTCACCATCCGATACCTGCTGAAGATTGAAAATGATGATCATGATTTCTATGGTCTCAAAACTCTGTACCATGTGTTTATGGTATATGCGATCTTTCTGTTTATACGTACACATTGTATCAACATGATATCAAACAAGTACAATGCAAATGTGAATATGTACACCCAAGATGAACAGCACAGACTTCAAACACTATTCTCTTTGCGTGATAGATAGATGAAAGGCTATATGTTACTCATTCCTTCAAATTTAACAAATGCAAGTTCGAAATATCACCAGAACATCAGAGTAAGTGATATTCTCAATTTTCAGTCATTACAACAAATGTAAGAAGTGGAAAAACTCGCGCGCCAAAAGTCGTTAGTAACGTTAACAGCTTTATATGAGATAAATCAAGCAGCGAGGAGTCACATGAGAGAGAGAGAGAGAGAGAGAGAGAGAGAGAGAGAGAGAGAGAGAGAGAGAGAGAGAGAGAGAGAGAGAGAGAGAGAGAGAGAGAGAGAGAGAGAGAGAGAGAGAGAGAGAGAGAGAGAGAGAG